ACATTCCCTGGGCATGTTTCCAGAAGGGAGGGAACATGTCCTTAGAGAAGAACATCATGAAAGGAAAGGTGGAGGGACAGTGCAAGAGACGAAGGCCTGCAGACCTTGCTCTGTTTCAAGTTTGAGCTTTTAGAAATAAAACTATTATGAATATTTATATATAAGAAAAAAAGAGGAAGACCTGGATGAGATGACTCAGTGATTGGAGTAACGGGGGTAGGTGTATCAGAGACAATAAAATGGGCTCAGGATAGGGCAGGGTTCAGAGCTCTCAACAGCGCATAACAACATGTCCAAAATATGTGAGATGAAGCTTTATCACCTTTGCCTCCAATGAGTATTCTGGCTGCATGTTCTCCAAGACTTATCTGTTTGTTCTTTTGGTAGTCCATGGGCTATTCAGTACTCTTTTTCTCTTTTTTTAATTATTTTTTTGTGTGCACCATCAAATTAGATCTGACTGGTAGAGGAAGAGATTGTCCCTCCTTCTCCAGCAGAGCATCTGGTGGATTTGAACCATGCACCTCTGAGATTGCAGTGCAACTTCTTGCTGCTAGGCCACCAGAGTTCGCCTATTAAGTACACTTTTCCAACACCACAACTCAAATGTATCATTTCTTTTGTCATCCTCATTCATCCTGGCCTGAATTAGGTTCACTTTAATCTTTAAACCAATTTCATTGCTCCCCAGTAATTTGGAGAGGTTCTTAACTGCAGACTTTTCCAGTACATCTCCTGATCTCCTGACTGCTTGTACCAAGTGTGCTGGGATCCAAGCAAGATGAAGTCACTGACAGTTTTAATCCTTTCTCCATCTATCATGATATTGCCTATCACCCCAGTGGTGAGAATTTTTATTTCTCAAGAATGTTGACCTACAACCAGGAGAAGATAAAGTAGATGAATGGGATCTTCTAAGAATCAAATCCCTACGCACATCCAAAAACTTCTCCAACAGGGTAAAAAGGAGGCAACCGACTGGGAAAAAGTATTTGGTAATGACATATCAGATAAGGGACTTATATCCAGAATTTATAAAATACTTGAGCACAACAAGATAAAGGTAAATAATCCAATAGAAAAATGGGCACAGGATATGAACAGACACTTCATGGAAGAAGACATTCAGATGGTTAACAAGCACATGAAGAAATGTTCAAAATCCCTAGCTCTAAGAGAGATGCAAATTAAAACAACTATGAGATA